CATGGGCATATCATTCAAAGCTCTTTGTTCAGAGACGTGTGGACATATTATCAAAGATCTTTTATCATAAAAAAAGCTCTTTTGCTCAGAGACGCGTGGGCACATTATTCAAAATCTCTTTGTTTAGAGACGCGTGAACATATCCAAAAGAACCTCTTTTGTTCAGAGACGAGTGAATAATCCTCAAAAAGAAGCTCTATTGTTCAGAGACGAGTGAACCTCAAAACAGCAAGATGGCGTTCCTTAGCTTGTGGAAGGTTGTCACAACAGCAGCAAATATAGCAACAAATCGGTTACTTCAGAGACGTGTGCTCGACGGTGCAAGATACGCGTTTCTAAACTATTTTATCTGTTTTAACTAATGCTAGTTTGCAGGTATCGGCGTTACAAGAGTGGTTTAGGATTGCAGAACGTTTTGAATCATTCTCCGTCCCTATCGATACTTTGACTATTGTTTTTGAAACTTGCATTTCTCCACACTCAGTCAAAGTGGGGGCTTCTGTAGACACCCAAATATGTCTCCCCAAAACCAAACCCGGTGATGAGTACCTTTCACGTCGAATCATAATCGAATGAAGTGAAAGTATGGAAAGTCTAGTGTTGCGGATAGTTTTTAATTCTTTTCTTTCTCTCTGTTTTTGAAAACCTATTTTAAGAAAACAGCCAATCCATTTTGGTTTGGTCCATAGCAAGGGTCTAATAATATTGTAGTTGGATGGGGCTTGAAAAGAGCTTTCCAACGATATATTATAAGCCCAATTCGGATGAATAATGAGGAAGTTATGGCCAAATTACTAAACCGGGCCCGATTTGATATTTATATGCTGCCCAATGATCTAGAGGAGGGCCTAATATTTATGTATCATTCCTAATGCAATTAGAATTGATTTTAGTCTTCTAGATTCTTCTAGAAGATTCTTTTCATTCCTAATTTAATTAGCATTGATAAGTTGACTTTAGTTGACTTTTTAGAGTTTTAATCAGAATAAAAGAAGTGTTTTTAAGGAAAATACGATTTTGCCCTTCTTTACGGCTTAATTTTATCAAAATTAAGAAAACGCGTGAAGCTGATTTCTAGCGCCTGCCGACAGGATTAGCGCCTGGCGCTAATGCTTGGCGTCTGGCGCTAGCCTTTGCGCCTGGCGCTAATGTCTGGCGTCTAGCGCTAAGTCGTTTTATTCTCTTCGAAACTTTGATTTGTTTTTCTATCCATCTGGCTGATTTTCTCTACAAATAACCTCCTAAAACCTCCGTTTTCGATCATCAATTCTTTAATTTTCTCTTTCATCAACTCTCTCTCATCAATTATAATCAATTCTCTCTAATTCTCTCTTTCACCAATTCTCATCAAGAAATTCTTGATACTCTCTCTCTCTCTCTTTTTTCTAAACTAGCTTTTGCATACAAAATTCCGCATTCACAAGATCTAGAAACACCTAGCCAACTTTGAAGTTGCCTTCGCCCTAGGCGTGAAAGGTTTTAATTTCTGAGGGTTTGGTCCCAAATCTCTATTTCAATTATTTGATTTAATTGTTTGATTTTATTATTTTCCTTTGAAGTTACTAACGTGTGTATTTTGTTATTAGAAAGAGGTACGAGGCATCCAGGTAAGTGTTTTAATTGTTTACATTGTTATTATGATATAGAAATCATGTCTAGGTTGTTATTGTGATTCCTAGTATCATGTTAGGATGCTTGATGTTTTGAATGATAACAATGATTCCTAGTATTATGTTTAGGAAAAAGGTTATAATATCAAATATGCTTATTATGATTCCTGCGATGCTTCATATTTTCTTTCCTAATATTCATGTTAGTATCATGTTAGGGTTAAAGCTTTGATTTTTATTGCTTAGTGACATGCTAGGGTTTGTTATTAATCTTGTTAGTATCATGCCTAGGATCTTGCTAATATTATTATGATTTAACATGATTATTATTATTATTATGATTATTATTATTATGTTGCTTGATGATTATTGTTATTTCTTGATCACACCTTTTATGCATGTTTAAAGGGAATTTGGTACTTGTAATTACGCTTAATAAGATAATTAATAATCTTGTTCAGGGTTAATTTGATTATAATTCAAGTGATCTCCAATAATAGTTTTATTTGTGCATTAATATTCAACCAACATAGATAAACAGGTTTAGGTTAAACCTAATGATTGCATGTTAGTCAGAAAGCGCACATGAATACGATCAGAATAAAGTAGAGCCTATTATTAGGGCAGGTTCAATCTCTTTTAGGTTGGCTTTGTACCTTCATCCCCGAACTACCAATCATGGTTCCAGACCTATTGGAGTTGATAATCTCTAGGATCGTTAAGGGGTGTAACCTTCACCTCGTGAACGGTTTACAAGTTCCTAAAACTTGTTGGCGACTCTTTTGCTCTATCTTCTTTCCCTTTGGACGCCACCGTACTTTAGTGTATAATCACAGTGGGGTTCAAGTTTGGGGTGATGCTTGAAATATTCCCTACAACCCCGAATTTGTCTTAGAAGCCACTTTGTATTTCAAGACATAGGACTTCAGCAAGCCCTTGTCAGCCAGACGGTCCAACGTCCGCTTAAGACTATAGCAGTCGTTGGTGTCATGGCCCACTTGTTGATGGAAACGACAGGATTTATTTTTGTTCCGCGACTGAATGGAACTTTTCATAGGATTCAGCTTCTCGATATTCAGCCGGTCCCTCACCTCTGTAAAGATGGTGTAATAGTCTTTATTGAATTCATACTGCAAAACATACGGTTTGAATTCTTTATTTTTCTTTTTGGACGACTGATCAGGTTCCTCAACTGCCCAAACTTCTTTTCTCTTTTTGCTCTCTTCAACTTTTTGAGCCAGCTGAGAAGATGGACTCTCTTTTTGCCTATCGGACTTCTTTGAGTCTGACTGATGGCTGGAAGAGCAGAGATCGGTAGCTTGAATAAAGATTTCCGCCTCTATCAACGCCTCTTGAAGGGTGAAAACCCTCTTACGAACAAGGTCGAACTTAAAGATCGACCCGTCCTTCAGACCCTTGAAGAAGTCTTTATAGGCTACCTCGTCAGACAGCCCCTAGATTTAAATTCTCACCAGGTTGAACCGCTAGACATAGGAGCGGAGCCCTTCTCTATCTCCCTACCGGATGGTGCTCAAGTCAAGACTTGTCTTTTTGGCAGGGATGTTCATCGAGAAGTTGGAGGCAAACATGAAAGCAAGCTTCCTGAAACTGTCGATGCAACCGGCTGGCAAGTTGCCAAACCATTGTTGGGCGATGCCCTTCAATGTAGCCGGGAAACACCGGCACCAAATAGCGTCCTCCAACCCCTGCATATGCATGAGGTTGGAGTAGGCCATGAGGTGGTCCTCCGGGTTGGTGGTACCATCATAAGCACCTACCAACTCATTCTTAACCTTTGTCGGCTGTGCGGATTTGGTTATCTCCTTGGTGAACGCAGAAGTTTGTTCACAAAGTTTAAGCAGTCTAAGCTGTCAGTCCAAAGGTTGGACATTATATATCGCCTGACCCCCAAAGAGGATCGGCTGCATGAAGTGAGGGGAGTACGGACCGTATACTATAGGAGGTACATATGGTGCATTCCCAATCATATGAGGGCCAGAGTGGACGGTATTACCGCCTGTATGACTCTCATGCAAGGATTGAGTATTCCCTACTGATGTGTTCTTGAAGCTGTCTGGAAAGCTCGATGTAGAAGCCGACTCAGACAGCTACTGACCTCTTCTGCGGGTAATGATTTCCCAAGCGTCAGGAGTTGATTTTTTGTTTCCCTCCGGCTGTTCAAATCGGCGGGGGTTTCTTGTGTTCTTCAGGGGCAGAAGAATCTTGGACCAGTCGAGAGTCCTGGCTGCCTTGTCCTTTGGATGCGGAGTCGGCTGGCTGTCCCTAACCGGCTTCTTCCTTCCTGGAGGAATCTTCTTTGCCGACTGACCCTTGCTTGGGCCAGCCTTACTCTTGGTAATCAGATCCTTGATTTCACCCTTGAAACTAGTAATGAATTTCATGTGTTCGTCCCGGGTGACAGGGGCGGATCCACCTGCCGTACGGGTTTCCCCTTCCGGCTGACCAGGGGGTCGACTTGTACCCGCCTGGCTCTCGCCCCGCTCCAAAGTGTCTCTGGGACGGATGTGTTTGGTGATCAGGGAGCCATCTTTGGCAATGTAGGTTTCTACTTGAGGTTCATCATCCTCTTGGTCAGTAAAGACCTCCGGTTGGTCAACCGGACGGTCAGGAGGTGGTACAGACTCTTGAACTATCTTTGAAGTACTCTCCCCACAAACGGCGCCAAATGTTTTGGGTGTTTTTGTCCATCGGGAGAGTTATAGCACAAAAACTAGTTGCGCGCGGCCTGTACATGCAAAACAGCGGAGACTCCGGGTGGTTGGAGCTCCGCCTCCGACGATCAAGTTAGTACTTGAAGAATCACGGGAGAAAGTGCGGAAATAGAGGTGAGATCTTCTCGGATTTCGAGATCAGCTGATTCTCTGATGTAAGAGAATGTAGGGTATGCTGTAATAATTGTAGATGTCCCAAATTTGGGGGAAATCTCCTTATTATAGGGTCTTTGGTAAATGTGCCCCCGATTAGGTCATTCTGACCTAATTATTATGGGCTGCGCCACATTGCAACTTTCTCGGGATTTGGGCCGATGAATGTCGCCTTTTCTTCCCAAGTTCAAGGAGAGACACGTGTCAAAAGGAGATTGGCCCAATTTAGAACAACCAAAGTATGACACGTGGCAAGACCTGATTGGGCCACGTGGCATGGGTAAAATTTCCCAAAACACAACATGTTTTAAATTTTAATAAACCTTTTAATAGATTTCATGAAAACACTATATTGACACGAAGATCAAACACGACACGACTGTTTGTGAGCATCTAAAAACCAATTAGAGAAAGCTCTTCCTAGTCCAAAGTCCCAACAAGAGTTTGAAGGACATATTAAAACCCAAAAAAAAATGGGCCTTCAAGTTAAATGGCCGTCAAAATACACCACAGGCTTGAACAACAACAGGCCATCTCAAGCCATGGTGGTGTTTGTTGCCATTTACCACCAAAAAAAAACAACTCTTTAATTCTTCGAAGAAATCCGAATTCTGCCGAGGAGAGAGAAAAAGCAGTCGTTGATCACTTTCAGCGAAGATGGAGAAGGAAGAAACGGTGAAATTGATCAGCTCTGAGGGCTTCGAATTCGTCATTGATAGGAAAGCTGCTATGGTTTCTCAATTTCTTCGCAATTTGCTTACTTCTCCAGGTTATTATACATTAATCAATCATAATCAAAATTAGGGGTTTATTTTATTTTTTTTATTATTATTTTTTTTTAATTCTTGTTTTCGATACTGTGAATTTCGTATGATTGTTGCAGATTCGTATTATTGAAGATTTTGATTGATTAGTGTTTTCGGAATTTGTAGGGAATTTTGCTGAAACGGAAAATGGTATTGTGAGATTTCCGGACATCAGTACTACTATATTGGAGAAAATTTGTCAGTATTTCTACTGGTCTCGTCAGTATGCTAGGTAATTTCTTATTTTATAAAGTAATTTATTTTAAGTTGTTTTTTAATTTGATGTTGCAAATTGTATATGATCTTCAGTGTTGTAGAATGAATTTGATTTTTGAGTTCTTTATATTTGCGGGATTGTTTTTGGATGGGAATTGTGGATGACTATAAGGGATAATCACTTTTGGTTCATGTAGCCGACCCCACCAATGGGATTAAGGATTGATTGTTTATTTGATGGAAATTTCTGATTGAAACAAGCTTAAGTGTTTAGAATGCTCGTTTGGTTTATGTCTGTTTGTGTTAAACAATTTGATATAAGACATTTGATTGGTGATATGTATTCTTTTGGAATCGTCTATATCTCATCGATATTTCATGTTTGGCTGGAGCAATTATTACTTGGTAGTCTTGCTTATAGCTCATATGATGACAAAAACACAAATTTTGACAGAAAATTATGGATGCAAAGGTTAAATTGTGTTCATTCTTGAGTGAGATAGCTGATTATGGAAAAAGTAGATTAAATTAGAGGAACTTAAAAAATTGTTATACATTTCTCACTGAGGCTGAAGCGAGCTGTATTGTTTTTTCTTTGTGTGCTTTAGTACCACTTTGTAGTTCGTTTATGTAGACTAAACTGACACTCTCCTTCTTTGCCTCTGTCTGTCTTCTACTACTATTTTTATGTACCTTTATAACCAAAGACCTAGAGATAACAAACACTATTTGTGTTATTTTTACCTTACTATTACATGATCATGATTTATGAATGCTGCTACTATTTCTATCACTCTTGATTGTTAGTTCAGAATACAACAATTTCATTTTGACACTCTGTACTTGTCTGTAGATGGCTGCTGCTCTATCAAATTTATGTAATTTAATCAATAGAAGTTACAAATCTCCCTGTCTTATAATACTTCATATATTGCAAGTAACCCTACATCTCACATCAGATTCTGTTTGAACAGACCATGGACATCTATTTTCTAGGAGCTTCTGACCTTAAAGTCAAGTACATCAAAATTAAAAAATAGAAGTGCTTACTTATTTTATTAATTTATTTGACCTTTTTCCCCTCACAAGAATGGTTTCATTTTGATCATCAAGAGACTGACTAAGTGACAAAAAAGTCATATCTGTTTGGCTGTTGATGTACAGCTAGTGGCAGCCTTTTACGTTTCCTGCCTTCATCCTTCATCATGTTTCATTAAAAAAAAAAGAATCTTTATTTAGAGTTACAAAGCTAAAATACTTCGTGCATTCTGCACAACTGATGTGCAAGAAGCCAGAAACTCCCTATACAAAGAAAAAACCTGATCTAATTTCTCCTACAATGTAATGCAGTCTTGAAGCCCTTTTTTTGAGGGATTACTATTGGGGTGGTGGGTGTCGTTTTCGTCTTACTCATCTTTATAGTTGTGTTCTTAGATATATGCAGGCAAAAACATTTTCTTTTCATTTGATATTTAAGTCATTGATGTGCATCAGATAGCATGAGTTCTTTGACTTTCTTTCTTTTTCTTTCCTTTTTTCCCCTCTTCCTGCTATTGGTGCTGTATGCAATATCATCTATTGCTTAGTTCCCAAGAGCATATCATTAAGAGGATCTGGCTATCTTCTGATATGTGCCTTTGTCGAAACTTTAAGCAAAGCTTGTCTGACCAGTGAATCATCAATTATTTTTCATGTTTGGTTGCAACAAAATATGTGAACTACAATATGAACTCATCTCTTGCTTGATTTCTCTGAGTGATGGAGGTGTTTTCTGGCTGTTTTCCGTGGTGCGTGAGTAAATGAGTCTCTTGCTTTCAGGATGAGCAAAATTAAACTGGAAAACCTGCAATTATGCTGCGATTCTGTGTTAAATTGATATTTACCTTGCAAATTCTGAAGTATGTATTAATAATGTTTAGTTATGAGTGGGCCAGGTTTGCATTGAAACACCAAAACTAGCGATTATAGTTTGGCGGGGGAGAACTTACACCTTCAAATTCTTTTGTTAATTAGTCCCATTTTGCCAGTGTACCTTTCTTTTAGCTTAGAGTCATAGACGCTCCTCATCAAGAAAAGATGCAGAGTTTTTCCTTGTCTTCCAAGTTCGAGATTCATTGAGGTCTCCCTCCCCCCCCCCCCCTTCTCTCTCTCTCTCTCTCTTAAATCCTTCAGGTAAGATTTTGTATGGTCTTTTTTATGTATGTGTAAATGCTTTTTTTTTTTTTTTTTTTTTTTTTTTTTTTTTTTTTTTTGTGTGTAGTGGAAAGGAGACCGAATTCCACATTGAACCTGAACTTACTCTGGATCTGATGATGGCTGCTAATTATCTTCATACATGAGAAGAATCTCCTTCTCTTTCTTATCGTGGCATTCTCTAGTTAATGTGGTAATCGTTTGGAGCTTTCCATATACTTCGTATATTGTTGAACACTACTTATAACAAAGCATCAAACAGGGAGTTTCACCCCCATTCAATGGACTTCTACTAATTGATTATGTCCAGCTTGATTAATTTGGATTTTCTTTTCCACTTTTGTTTAGGGGTGCTCAAGGATGCCTCTTAAGAAGTATGAACTTTCAGAAATTTACTGCTTATCTTCGTGTCTTTGCTGTTAACTCTGGTCCCTGGATCTCTCAGTACAGGGACCTGGTGTAGATTGTGTTGTAGGATTAGGACTGATTGTTAATGACTCACAGAAAGTTCGTCTGGGATACTGAAACTGAAGTATATAACATCTTAATTTAGACTAAGAAGAGAACTTGTATGCTTAATAGACTGGAAGTTATTTATTCTTGTCTGATACTGACTAGGAATTGCTGCTGTTTGCTTATACCTTTCTTCATCCATGCATTATGTAGTCGTTAGTCCTTCAGCCCTATGGCAGGACGGATTTTATGGTAATGGATATTTTACAAAAAGTATTGGGGAATGGACAAATGATTCAATTTTATTGTTTTTGTTTCGTATAATTTAGGGATTAACATTCCTGTGTATGCATGTACAGTTGTGGAACCATCATTGGTCGCTATTGAATGGTTTAGCCTCAGGAATGTTAATTCCCTAATTTTCAGGACTGTTAGTGGGAAATTTTGGACTTGCAATCAAAGGTTGCTTGAGGAAGTAGGGAGTTGCTGCTTTGGCTTAATGTTTGGGTAATGGTACTTGGATAAATTTGGAGAGATTAATGTAAAAAAGCACCAATCTTTTCGTGTTATATGGAGTTTTGTTTGGTATCTCTGCTTTAAGATTTCCTACCCATTTGTCCATTACGCCTAGGGTAATCTAAGGTTATGTTTATTATTTCTTACTATTAATATATTATTTATGATCCTTACAAAGTTTGAATGAATGGTGTTTAAAATTTTCCTTCTATTTTGGATGATGGGGTAGAACCATTGTTCACTATTAAGTTAAGTATAATTAATAGGAAAAAATTGGTTTTAATAATCCTAATTTTGGCCGATTTTATTTAAATAATCTCAACTTTCGATTGTTATGGAATAATTTCAACGTTGGGGTGCATTTTCTTTAGGAAAAATGAAAATTAAAAATCTAACTGTTGCACTTTCTTCCTTTAAAAATCTAACCTTTTGATTATCCTATTAAAAATCCAACCTTTACCCCCTATTTTCATCAAAAGATCCAATTGATTTATAACCTATTAAACAAGCTAATTTTTTTTTCTTCTTATAAATCTCTTTCCTCTTGCTGCCCTTTTCCATGGCTACCTACCACCATAGCCCCACCCACTGCCGCCTTTGATGTAACCAGCCCCACCCATTGCCTCCAACCCATTTCCACAACAATAACAACAGCGACATCAACAACACCAAAACCACCACGCAACGTAGCGGTAGCCGTAAAACAAAACCACTGGCATCAACCACGCATCCCTTGCTCCACCAATTAACAACCGACCACCACTTGCAAATCCCTCCACAATAAATTGCATCTACTGTTGCACCACAACAGCAGCATCGCTCCCTCAAACCCAGTTACCTCCTTATTCGTCACTTATTGTTGCACCTCAGCCGCCACCAAAGCAAGTAGAGCAGTTGCTTCAATCATCTAGAATTCATCCCCTGTTTCCATTTGCACATTCGAAATCACCAAACACCGCAAATCTCCACCACTAATTAGTCATCATCCACATAAATCCACAAATTACAGCAATTTGTGGCGATTACGATGGTGGTGATGGTGAATTTTGTGGGATTTTGTGGGTTTGTAGGTGGTGGGTTTTGTGGGTTTGTAGGTGGTGGGTTTTGGGGGATTTCGTGGCGAGTACGACGGTGGTGATGGTGGTTTGGGTTGTCGGGGAAAGACAGGTGGGGATTGGGTAGGAAGGGGTGGGTTGTTGACGGCTACACAGGGGGGTCATTTAGGTCGTAAAAGGGGAGCTAGGGGATTTGAATTTTTTTTCTTTCAATTGTGTTTTTTTTTTAATTTTAAAAAAATAATAGACCTATTAGAAGCTGACACATGACATATAACTTACAAAAATCAGTCACCAACTGGTATGTATGTTTAGATGATGATATGAGGTAAAGGTTGGGTTTTTATGGAATAACAAAATTGTTGGACTTTTAAGGGAAGAAAGTGCAAAAGTTGGATTTTTAATTTCCATTTTCTTTTTCCTTAAATAGTCCCAAATCGGTCAAAAACTTGTTATACCAGGTTATCTGACATGTGCCAAGTTGTGATTGGTCTATAAAATAATTACAAACAAAATTAAATTAAAACAATATTAAAAAAAAAACCCCGTAGACCCTCCCTTCCCTCACTAGACCATCCAAGCCCCACTACCTCCCTTCCCTTTCCCCCGTCAAAAAAACCTCCCTCCCTTCCCCTTCCCCTTCCCCTTCCCCTAAAACAACCAGCCACCCCTTAGCCCAAAAAACAACCTCCTTTCCTTACTCAAACTTGAAAATCGCCCTCTCCCTTCTCTCACCCTCGAAACTGCCTAGGGGTGTATTTTGGGGTGAGGTGAAGGGATGGGGGAGGTTTGGGGGTAGGGGAAAGGAGGGGTGGGGGTTGTTTAATGGGGTAGGGAAGGGAAAAGGGGGTGGTTTTCGGGGGTGGGGGAAGGTTTTAGGGGTGGCGGTGGTTGTAACACACTAGAAATTCCTTTCTTTCAAAATACTTGTTTTGCCCTGTTTAAAACTTTAAATAGGAATATCTAAGACATTACCGCGCCACCATAAAAACGGTTAAGGAAACTATCAAAGACACAAAGCGGAAGACTAATTTCAAAACCATTCAAAACAAGTCAACTTGAAGAGTCAATCAACGAAAGTAAAGTCAAACAAAGTAAAATAAAATCAACCTACAACTTGGAACCATTGTAGGCCCTTATTAAAACAAAACCGAACTCAAAACCTTTCGTTAGTCACGCATAATAATAAAGCCATAAATAAATAAAGCAATAAACACATCATATATATACTTATAGAAACTAGCATGATTCGCTCTTCACTTATGCCCATTCATGAATATGCTTCATCATTTGAAAAGCTTCTTTCTACTTGTTTCCACTACTCTCCATTAAAAATAGGTCATCATAGGGCCAAGATAAAGACAAGGCCAACAAACACACAAAACACACAATCAACAAAGCTGAGTACATAAGCGTAATTAACACAGTAACATAAAATTTCCTATCAACACACAACTTACCTCGTTGCACCTGTTTTTCAAGCATACAACAACCAATAAAAGTTCTCACTAGACAATACATAATTTATTTAATGTTGACTACGCATCGAACGGGTTTCCCCACTAACCTCCCCAAATAAATTGAGGTTACTGACACGGGAGCTAACCGTGCCAGCATCAATAACCACTCATAGGTGGCGGAATTCCTGCGCATAATAATAATAAAAGGAATGTACAACGTCCTGTACTCCATTAGAAGTTATGATCAAATATAAAGTCACATAACTCCCCCCATATGTTCATACTCAAGGTATATACTTGATGAGTGTCATTTATGGCACTCATAGGGTAATCTTTTAGGATGATTTCGTCTTCCTTTTTATGCTTTCTTATCTTATTTTTGGTCCTTTTTCCTTTAATTCCTTTCTTTCTTTCTTTCCTTGTGTTTTTCGTGTTTTCCTTTTATTTGGTTCTTTTTCCCTTTTATTTCTTTTCGTTGTTTGTTTTTGTAGGTACATAGGATTTGTCTCTGCAAGGGAATCAAGATGGGCTATATTGACTAAGCAAGGAGGAAATAATCGGCTCAGAGAGGGCATGGAGAGGGCATCAAGCCCTGCCAGTCTACCGCGGGCGCAGTACTGAAGGTCGCGGGCGCGGGCTCTTATGCACCAAATTGGCAGATTTCGACCAGGAACTCTCCGCGGTCTGGCCGCGGTCTTGCCGCGGGCGCGGGTAGCTTGGAGAGCCCGCGGCCCTCTGATCACCCTTTGGGAGCAGGGGACTCTCTGCGCTTTTGCCGCGGGCGCAGGTGCTTTTGCCGCGGGCGCGGGTGTTGCCCAGAAAGCCTGCGGAGTTTATAATGGGTTCCGTTCCCATTTTTCCTCGAACGCGGGGTTTATTGGAGAGGGCGCGGGAATCCCGTTTTTCTTCTTTGCCTATAAATACACTTGTAATTCCTTTTTGAAGATAACTTTTAGATAATTTTCATTAGCTTAATTTTAGAGAGAGAAGTTAGAGAGAAGTTCTTGGTATTGGATTTGTATTTCAACATTGGATCAATTGACCTTGGATTTCTTCATTTTCAATCATTAATGTTAGTAAGATTTTCTTCTTCTAGTTCATCTCTTACGTGATTGATTTAGTTTCATCTTTGATTGTTTGTATTGCTTGGATTTGAATTGGATATTGTAGTTGATATTGCTTTCTCTTGATTTTGATTTAGAATGATGATCAATGTTAATTCTAGTGATTTTTTCTTGAGTTACACCATGATTAGTGAGTAGATTAGTTGCTAGGGAGAAGGGGAAGCATGCTTGATTGATAATTTGTGCTAGTTGATGATCTTTGATTGATTGAATTGTTGCAATTAAATTGGTTGACATAGTTTTGCATGTGATTAATTAGATTAGGAATGATCAACCTATAAGATTAATTTAGATTGCATTGCATTTCTTAATGACATGACCGACCTCTTTGAGAATTGCTTTAATTGATTGAGTTTGATTGTGAATTTCCTTGATTAGCCATTCGTAGTGACCCCTAGTTTGGCCTCTAGGAGATAGCTCTTGAATTCTCTTGATTAATACTATTGTTTGTCATTTGCAATGCTTGAATCAAACGAAGAAATTGTCGATTAGCACGCTTATTGAATTAGCATGTGGAACCAATATCCCTAGCATTTAGCTTATTGAATTACTTGATTAGTCTAATTTTGCTATCATAACACCAACCATTTTCTCACTTCAATCTCCGAAATAGCTTGATTTAGGCTAAAGAGAACACCAACTAACTCCTTTGGGTTCAACCCTATACTTACCTATACTTGTTTTAGGTTGGTTTAGGATTTTATAAATAGTGTTTGATTTTGGGATAAGCAATTAACGACTAGTTTATTCCTCTATCAATACGTTCCAAGAGTTTTGGTGTGTAATCTCTTTCACTTTACGTTATTTACATATTATTAAACTTGGAGATGACGCTCAAACCATAATCATTCAATCAACAATAATTATTCAATCAATCAAATATACCAATTTAATTCTTGAATAATTAGTGACCACGTGATATTTAATGTTGAATCCTTTTTAATTCTACCTCGGTGCCAATGACACCTTAAACGCATAGAGCGCCACAAATCCTATCCCTCGGTGTTAAAAACACCTGAAGTGCACTAAGGCACCAACATACAATTTATTTTTCGTGTACACTGACACTTATATAGCTCTTTCCTCATGGTTATAGTATCGATAAAAATTATATGAACAATAATAAAATTCCTTTTCAATATTCCAAACC